GAACCAATAGATCTGATTTGGAAGAAGTGCAGCCAGAGTGCTCCTTGGAGGCCAAGATGGCTAAGCTTCGTCTCTCATACTTTGGACATATTGTCTGGAGGGAACAGTCGCTGGAGAAGGATGTCATGCTGGGTAAGGTGGAGGGTCAGAGAAAAAGTGGAAGACCCCTAACGAGATGCATTGGCCAGGTGGCATCATTGATGGACTCAAGTGCGGCAGCGGTAGTGAGGTTGGCCCAGGATGGGACATTGTTTCGTTCTGCTGTGCATGGGGTCGCTATGAGTCGGTTCCGACTCGATGGCACCTGTCAACAACAACAACAACAACACTACCAGAGCTCCTTTAGGGAGTGCATTAGCCATTTTGTAATAATAATGGTCATTAGTTTCCTCTAGCTCTTATATGATCCTTGTCACAGACAAAATGGAATGAAAATCAAAACCTGTTCCAGTATCAAGAACTCACAGGTAAAGAGACTGACATCAATGGAAGTAAACTATGTATTTACATCACATAGTGAAGTGAAGGGCTTTATGAATCTGGTCATACACAGCTTCTTTTATGGCTCATCAACTCTGGGCAAGGTAACAGGTGAACCCAGTTTTCCATCGCATTTGCCCATCAATGAGCTCAGCAAATCATTTCCTCTCATTCAGTTCCAACTTCCTTATCTCTTAAAAGTAACAGTAAATGATTTCTAAGATCTTTTCCATCAGTACCATTTAACAAATCTGTGCGTATTTTAAGAAACCTCTGAGTGCTAAAAACTTTACTGTGTGAACTTCCAACAGCTACTTTTATTGGGTGTCAAACACTCTTCTAAGTACTTCAGCCCTCACAACAACCCTATGAAGTTAGTACTATTATTATCCCCCACTTTTTTTCAGATGAAACTATGGAGGTACTGGCCAGATTCCCCTTCAAAAGTGAAGCAATTACCTAGTTACTGATAGTGTGGCCAGAAGCTGACCTTCTGATGTCAGTCCTCTTTGGAGATAGCTTTCCTCCAAGGTTATGCCTTCTTCCAGCAACAGTTGCATCCAGTGACTGATTATCATGGCTGTACAAAGGCCCGAATCCCATGCCCCAATTTAGGACAACTCTGAAATGCCATCCCAGCCCCAGAGCTCTCTGTTGGATCAGCTGAGAACTCCACTGAGGCCCAATTTCTCCCTCTATTCACTTTCTCTCCCTTCTTTAAGTGTTGATCCCTAGGTCACTACCTAACAACTATCCTGCCTGCTAACCTTTGTTTCACAGTCTGCTTCCTGGGGAACCTAGTCAGCAACATAAACAAAGTAATTTGCTCTGCATCATGGCTCGTAAATGGCAAAGCTGGTATTTGAACCTGTGCAATCTAGCTCCAGAGTCCTTCATCTCTCCTTCCTGCACTCAACCTTTTCAAGACCAAATTCGTTTGTGTTTTGAATGTTTGGTTGACACTATGTGATTTCAGTAATGGTAGGCATTTTTTTTAAATTAAATGAATAAAGCCTTTCTTGAGATAATACAAATTTTGATACAATTAGTGAGACACATAAAAGGGGGCTTCAAAAGTTCATAGAAAATTGGAATGAAAAGATAACAGAGTTTTTCCACAAACTTTTTGAAGTGCCCTCATATGTTCCAAGGGGTTTCTTGGGCTGGGGTTGATGGAATGATGCTCATTCCTTCAGATTCACACAGTTATACAGACCCCACCAGATAGCAGCATGCACTAAATGTGGGATAATATCTTCCCATTAAACCTCAGAGGCAGACAATGTAGGTGATCACTATATAAGTAAGTACCATGGGTCACAAAAAGCTAAAGGAAAAAGAGGGAGAAAATAGAAGAAATAATATTATAGAATATCGGAAAACTGACAACAATCATCTCGAATTATCCATAATCAGCATGGACTGGAGTCCTGGTATGGTACTGTAGGATAAGCTGCCTTGCAAACCACAAGGTCAACAGTTCACGTCTACCAGCTGCTCCTTGGAAACTGTACATAGGATCTCTGTAAGTTGGAAATGACTCAACAGCACTTAACAATGACAACAAAGGGTGGATTGGGCAGTAAATGTATGTAGGAAAGGCTCTCGGTAAGAGAGGGTGGATTTGCTTCTTTATGTCCATTGAACAATGTGGCTTTTCGTCACATGTTCACTTTCTTTTTTTTCAACAGCGGAGACCAATTCAAAATTGGAAACTTCTGGGAAGCCTAGCCAACCCTAAAATTAAATCCTAAAAAGAGAACAAAGATTCACACTCTTGATAACGTTGCTGCTGTTAAGTTCCATTGAGTTGGTTCCAACTCATAGTGATCCTGTGTAGGGTTTCCAAGGAGCAGCTGGTGATTTTGAACTGCCAACCTTGTGGTTCAAACTGAACTTGGGATCCAGTACTTTATCTTGCATCACCACACCAGGACATTGTTTATTGTTCATTTTATGCCATGTTGTAGTTGATCATGCATGGGATGACAAAGTTGGTCATTGGAGAATGTGGATTAGAACAAGTTTCTTCCATTCCAGTCTAGAAATCATTTGGCTTTTATAATGCTGTATCTATGTTGGCACTTGTATTGTTGTTGTGCACCGTTGAGTTGGGTCCGATGCATAGTGAACCTGTATAAGGTTTCTGAGGAGCGGCTGGTGTGTTTGGACCACCGACCTTGCAGTTCAAACTGACCTTGAGGTCAAGTGCTTATCCTACAGTGCCACACCAGGACTCCTATGATTTGAGGAATTTTACTGAATTCTGAATTCAGTATAAAATAATTTTTTTCTGACAATGAAAGTGAATCTTTTGGTTATCTAAATTCCCTTTATGTTACATATTAGATTGTGTCCCTCCAAAATAGGCATTGAAATCCTAACAATATAGATACAGATATAAAGAGGTCTAAGGAGCTCTGGTAGCGTAGCGGTTACGAATCAGGGTGTAACTGCAAGGTCAGCAGTTCAAAACTACCAGCTCTTCCGTGCGAGAAAGATGGGGCTTTCTGCTCCTGTAGAGATTTATAGCCTTGGAAACCCTGTGCAGGGATGCTATGAGTCAGAACCAACTCCACGGCACATAACAACAACAAAAACAAGGAGCTCTGGTTCATTTTCTGGCACTATATCTGACAGTATTTCTCTGCTATTCATAAGGTAGAGAAAAAGAGGAAGACACTCAGCTAGATGGATTGGCAAAGTGGCAGCATCAATGGGCTCAAGCGTGGCAACAACTGTGAGGTTGGCCCAGGGTCAGGCAGTGTTTCATCCTGTTGTGCATAGGGATGCTATGAGTTGGTAACGACTCGATGGCACCTAACAACAACAACAGAGCTCTGGTAGCATAGTGGTTATGAGTCGGGCTGCTAAGCTCATGGTCTGCAGGAAAAAGATGAGGCTTTCTGCTCCCATAAAGATTTACAGCCTCAGAAACCCTATGCAGGGTCACTATGAGTCAGAACCAACTCCATGGCACTACACCACCACCACCACTTACAGTGCTAGCATAGTGGGTTATGAGTTGGGCTGTTAGCCACAAGGTCAGTAGTTCAATTCTACCAGGCACTTTGCAGGAGAAAGATGAGGCTTTCCACTCCCATAAATATGTACAGCCTCAGAAACACTATACAGGGTTGCTATGAATCAGAACCAACTCCACGGAACATAACCACCACCAACCATGTATATAAAGTAATATGATGTAATTCCTTTACATAATGCAATTGAATGTTATGTGAATGAGGTGACATCAGTGCAGGACGTGTCCTAAATACAATCATTTCTGAGTTATGAAAAGAGCAGCTTAAACACAGAGATAAGACAGCAAAAATGGGGGAAGATGGCAAGAGATACTGCATGAAGATCGCCAAGGAGCTGAGGATTGATGGCTGAGACAAGGGTCTTCCCTAGAGCTCACACAGAGAAAGCAATCTCTAGGGCTGATCCTTGAATTAGACTTCTAGTCTCCTGAACTGTGAGAAAACACAACTCTTCTTTAAAGTCACCCACTTGTATTTCTGTTACAGCAGCCCTAGGGAACTGAAATGCCATCCGTATGCTACAACCTTTCTTGGTTGTACTGATTAGGAAGATTGTTCTTTCAGAGGAACTTAGAGTAAAAGGCACCACACCATGCTGTAGCATTAGAATGACTTAATTTATGAGAATCAAAAAGTACAAAGGAAATTGGCATTTGTTTTTCCTTTTCACTTAGTAGTTATAAAAAACCATGGAGAAGAGTTACTTGAACCAATTTAGAGTTTGAATTCAGGCTGAAGGAGTTTCAATTACAGTTTAGCATATGTTTATTCTACCTTCCATATTGAGTCATGATCCCAGGGGGGAAATAAGTCGTGTAGCAGCCCCCAGAGTACTGCTCCTCACACCAGTTCTTCTCTTCATAGTGCACAGGCTGCAAAACAAAGTGACAAAAGCTTGATGGAGCCTCAAAAGAAACGATCTCATCTAGAATAAATCAAAGATAGACTTTTCCAATAGGCATCTTATTGGAGAACCAACATACTTCTGAAATACCAAATCCATTCCATTAAGTTAACTCTAACTCCTAGTGATACTGTAAGACAAAGTAGAACTAGCCCACAGGATTTCCAAGGCTATAATAGAGGCTTTCTGCTCCTATAAAGATTTACAGCCTCAGAAATCTTATACAGGATCGCTATGGGTCAGAACTGAGTCGATGGGACTTAACAACAACAATATTTAAGGAAACAGACTTCCACATCTTACTCCTATGGAGTGGCTGGTGGATTGGTTACCAGCTGAGCACTTAATCACTGCACTACTAGGCATCCATCCATTCTTGAAATATTGTTGCTGTTGTTCAGTGCTGTTGAGTCAGTTCTGACTCCTATTGACCATGTATAACGTTTCTGAGGAGTGGCTGGTGAGTTTGAACCGCTGACCCTGCGGTTAGCTGTCCAGTGCTCATTCTACATTGCGATAACAGAGCTCTATTTCTGAAACAGAGTATTATTATTATGGTGTTTTAAAAAATATATCCTTGAGCAGGTCCTTGGCAGTAACCTCTTAAGAAATTTTGACTTTAGAAAGTTTTCTCATATGGTTCACTCATGTTCTAGAGACTATTCATAAATTGCAATCGTCTATTGCCATTTTAAAATAAAATTTACTTGTTAAGAAATGTTTAATGCTTATTGGTTTGAAGAAAAAAATTAAGAATTCATATTTACTGGAAAGGTAGAATTAGGAAAAAGCAGAAAAATATGTACAAGAAGGGAAGAATTTACGAGATTAATGTTTTTGGTGAAAGTCAGTTTTCTTAAAAGAAGCATATTCAGGCAAATTTATATCTGTGGTGTAGAAGCATTTCTGTTGGTGGTGGTAGTTGAACGTAGCTATCAATTTGAAGAAAACATTTTTGCTATGATCAAGCAAAATACTAGTGAAGATTTTTCAAAGTTAAAATTATTCAAATAATAAAACATAAGCTTTATCATTAAGTGTTATTTTTAAAGAGAAAATCAAGTTTGAAGGGCAAAATGCTTGTTTAAAAGTAGGTTTTGAAAAAAAAAAATCTTCTGCCAAAATTTGCAATATTTTGCTTAAACTTGGATAGCTATTTGTAACATACCCTATTTTCAGGTTGGCCCAGCCTTCATGTGGTGGTACCAAACACTGACTCCTGTCCTCTTCCCTCTGCATCTGAGAGCTACAACCATGTCTTAAGCATCCTTTTCTGGCTGTTTCCAACCAATCTGAAGAGTGATGCAACTTTATCTTTGACCTTTCTTTGCTTCTAAGAATTGTTTCCTTCCACACAACAGATACCAATGCACAGTAAAACAAAGTCCTGTACTATACCAAGCACACAAGGAGAGGATTAACTTATTTTTATCATCAGAAATTAGTCATCCATATTCTCCTTAGAAAAAGGAGGCTTTCCCAAATGAAAACAATGATCAATTTCTTTGGAAATCTGAGAACAATTGATTTCCTGTTCACCTTAGAGTTTCCCAACAACCACCCTACAGGTTGATTGACGGACCTCAACTACAAACTGCTTTAGCTTGAGAGGGTCTCAGAACAAACCTTCAAAAAAATCTTGACTATCTACCAGGACAAAATATCTTAAATAATATTTTTAAACATATAAATAAATAATTGTAATGGATATTTCTAAGTGATTTTTAGGGTGTATATATTTTGGGATTTTACCACTTCCCTTTCCCTAAGGGAAAAAGCTCAGAGGCCATGCCTATATTTAAACTTGAAAACAAAATAGAATCAAAACACATTCCTCATTAATGTAACATTTCTCTCCAAAGTCATCAGTTAAATGTTTTTGTTCATTTGCTGAGCAAGAACTTCAAAAGAGCTCAAGAGAGTGTATTTAATTAATATTAAGTACAGAACCTTTGCAATGGGGAAAATTCTTGCTTGAAAAGAATGAATAAAAATGACAAACTTAAAAGCCATAACAACTTGCTTGAATGGAGGAAGCAAATCACTCCAAAAGTGAGCAAGGTTAAGTAATCCATGTAGCTGCTCAACTAGATCGTGGTGTAGACTACAGAGATTTGGGTTTCAGTGTTTTTAATGAGTTAAACCTTTTTAGGTCCCTCATTATAATTTCCTCATATTTTAACTGATCCTCTGTACACTGGTCTCCACCATCTTCAGATACTTGAGGAATAATTGGATTTAATTATCACTTTAAAAAGGTGATATCATTCATGTTAAAACATTAAAAACCAAGCGCAATCTGGAGAATGTAACCCGAACACAAATTCATTATTTTATACATTGATTATGAAGGTAGATTTTGCTACTGGTTATGAGTAAAGTGGATTCTCTGGTAGGCTACTTCTAAAGGGCACATCTTGAGTCAATCAGTAGGTCTTCTCTCCACCCCTAATGTTCAAGGGTTAAACAAGGAAAGAAAGAGAGAGATACAGGGGGAAAGAGGAGATACAGAGTAGGGGGACAGTTCATCTTATTTTTATTTTCCAGGCAGTGGGAGGTGGGGTAGGACTTAGGGGCTGCTCATGTGTTAATTTATGGATATCAATGAGACTGGTCAACAGAGGAAAGAAAAGTTCTTTCTCATCACTGTCCTGGCTGCCACAATCTAGGGTCTCACTACTCATAACAGACCAGTTACCCAGTTGGCATCAAGTCCCAACTATGATTCATGAAAACTCCATGTGTGTCATAGTAGAACACATGTGTTCTATAGAGTTTCCAATGGCAGATTTTTTGGAAGTAGATAGCTAAGACTTTCTTCTGAGGCTCCACTGGGTGGACTTGAAACTCAAACATGTTAACTGTTTGCACTACCTAGGGACTCTACAGGGAGCAGAAGCACCCCTCTTTTACCCCATGACAAAATTGTTGTTGTTAAGTGCCATCAAGTCGGTTCTGACTCATAGTGACCCTGTTTAGGGTTTCTGAGGAACGGCTGGTGAATTTGAACCACCAACCTTGCAGTTCAAACGGACCTTGCAATCCAGTGAATTAGTCTAATGCTTTGTTCCAAGAAGAACTTCCCAGTCGAGGAAGGCACAATGTTGTTGTTAAGTGCCATTGAGTCAGTTCTGGCACATAGTGAATCTGTAAAGGATTTCCAAGGAGTGGCTGGTGGGTTTGAACCACCAACCTTGTGGTTCAGTGCCAATCTTACAGTGCCAGGAAACAACAGTGTTGCAGAATTCCTGGCCTGCTATCAGCACACACCAGATCCACATGCTAGGACTACTTCAGATTGACCAGCACTATGAAGTGCTCTGTAAAATGTCAAAGGATAACATGGTCAGAAGAGCCTTACTGGAGAGGTGCAAACAGTTAAGGTGCTCTGTTGCCAATGGAAAGGTTGAAGTTTGAATACACTCAGAGGTGACTTGGAAGGAAAGCCTGGCCATCTACTTCTGAAAAATCATCCACTGAAACTCTATGCAGCACAGGTCTACTCTTACACACCTGGGATCACCATTAGTCAGCATCTACTCAGTAGAAACTGGTATTGGTTAACCCTGCCAGACCTTTGAGGAAATGGTAGAGAATCAGCCTTACCTGCAGAGCTTCTTGGGATCCCAGAACTTTTGCATAGAGCTCACAAAGTTTCTTCAACCTGTTAAGAAAAGAGACATATATCCACATGAAGTTTAGCCAACTGGTACATATTAATGAACAAATCAGAGTTAGAAGAGGCCAAACAGCTAGTCTGTGTTTCAGCACTAAAATACTGTTTCTTTGTTTATTGATATCTCAAATGTTGGTTCTGCTCTAAATAATGTCTTAAAGAGAATATTATGTTCTAAATAATATTTTAAAGAGAATATTATAAATGAATACTTTCTCTACTTAAGATTTTGAGATTGTTCATCTCAAAATGTATTATCTACAATTTTATATTCCTTGAAGTATCTATCACATTGTCGTTGTCAAGTGCCATTGAATTAGTGCTGACTCATAGCAGCCCCCTATAGGGCTTCTGAGGAGCGGCTGATAAGTTTGAACCATCAACCTTGCATTTCAAACTGATCTTGCAGTCCAGAATTATTCCACAGTGCCGTACCAGGACTCCCATCTACCACATGGATATGCACAAAAGAAGCACTCAAGAAAAGATTAATAAAATAGAAAAACAATGATTAATGAGATAGAAAATCTGAGTTCCAATCCATTTTATTACCATTTACGATTTGGGTAAGTTGTTTGACTTCTTGAAATTCTGTTTCCTTAGTTGTAAACAAGGAGATAAGAAAAAAAAAAAGGTCGTTCAAACCCTGAAAATCTGTATTTTTCCTTTATAACGACCTGAGGTTCTATTTCATACTGGGTATGTAATTAATTGTTCACTTTTAAATGCATACAATTAATGTTACTTTTAAATTATATAAGTTTTATAATGTGTTAAAACATATTAATACGTAAAGAAAATATATGTGAGACTCATCACCACATAGTATATTTAATGGAATAAATTTAATTTAAATAAATTACCTATGTGATCATAAAAAAAGAGACATATGTGAAAATTCACCTATCCCTCATACAAAATGGCCTTGTGAGATACTGCTTTCGCTTTGATATTTTACTCTATTCAAGAAGAAGGCACTTTGTTCTATTTCAAATGCTTGTCATCTATGCAGTTGAAAATATTACTTAAAAATATAATAAAGTTTGTGAGATTGCAGTCAAAGTAATGAAAAAATGTGCATTAATTATTGAATGGAAAACTGATCTCTTCTGGAAACCCTTACCCAGTTCACAATAAAAAGTATATATATTGTTGTCATTGTTAAGTGTCATCGAATTGGTTCCAACTCATAGTGACCCTGCATAGGATTTCCAAAGATCAGTGGGTGAGTTTGAGCTGCCAACCTTGAGGTTCAAACCAACCTTGAGGTCCAGTGCCTTATCCCACAGTGCCATACCAGGACTCGATAGACAGATAGATAGATACAGGTACATAGGTACATAGATAGATAGATAGATAGATAGATAGATAGATAGATAGATAGATAGTGGAGTCTTGATATGGCACTGTGGTTAATGCATCAGTATCACCCAGGCACTCATTAGCAATGTGAGGTGTGGCACTGTAGGATCAGAACTGGACTGTGAACCACAAGGTCGGCAGTTCATACCCATGAGCTACTCCTCGGAAACTCTATACAGGGTCGCTATGAGTTGGAACTGACTCAACGGCACTCAGCAACAGCAACAACCCTAGACCTACTTCTGGAATTTCAAAAGGGTAGATTTTCTTGAAGGACATAGGCCAATCACTAATGCTTACTTATTATGAAGAAGTATTAAGCAAATTGAAGACTACATTGGTGATAAAGAGGCCATCAAACATGCACTAAGGAATTGTTAACCATTTGGAATTCCAGAAAACAGTAACTATAACCTTTTGAGTTGGGCTCACTGGTCAACTTTAATTTAACTGGTCCAGCAGATCCCTTCAGAAACCATTATTTTGCTTGGATCCTTTTTTGAAGACACCCTAACAAAACTAAGATATTTATCTTATATTTATATTACTGAACTTGTCTACAGTCATCCACTGATCACAGAGACGTGCTTAAACAAGTTTTGTTTGGAATAAACCTATGTATGTTGAACTAGATCCCTAGTTGTTGTTGTTAGGTGTCTTCCAGTTGGTTCCCATTCGTAGCAACCCTATACACAACAGAAAGAAACAATGACCAGTCCTACGACAATTATTATATTTGAGACCATGCTACTGCCAATGTATCAATTCATCTCATTGAGGGTCTTCCTCTTTTTCGCTGACCCCTCCCACTTCAGTAAGCATGGTATCCTTTTCCAGAAACTGGTCTCTCCTGTCCAAAGTATGAAAGGCAAACAAAGTTTCACCATCCGCACTTCTAAGAAGCATTCTGACTGTACTACTTCCAAGACAGATTTATTTGTTCTGGCAGTATCCCTTGTTCTGTTTGACCTTTTGGTCTATGTACAGGTTCCTCATGAGCACAATTAAGTGTTCAGAAATACTCATACTTCACAATGTTGTCCATAGCTTGTCATGATCCACACAATCGATAGCCTTTGCATAGTCAATAAAGCACAGGTAAACATCCTTCTGGTATTCTCTGTTTTCAGCCAAGATCCACCTGCTGTCAACAACGATATTCTTTCCTTTTCTGAATCCAGTTGGAATTTCTGGCAGCTTCCTGTGGAGGTATTGGTGAATTCATTTTGGAATTATCTTCAGCAGAATTTTACTTGCATGTGATATTAATGATATTGTTTGATGATTTCTACATTATGTTGGGACACCTTTATTTTGGAATGGGCACAAATATTGATCTCTTGAAATTGGTTGGACAGGTCTTTCAAATTTCTTGGCATAGCTGAGTAAACACCTCAAGTACTGCATCAGTGTGTTGAAATATTTCAATTAGTATTCCAGCAATTTCTGGAGCCTTACTTTTTGCTAATGCCTTCAGTGTAGTTTGGACTTCTTCCTTCAATCTATAGGCTACCTCTTGAAATGGCTGAACATCGGCTAATTCTTATTGGTACAGTGACTCTGTGTATTCCTTCCATCTTTTTTGATGCTTCCTGCATCATTCAATATTTAGCCCACATCCTCCTTCAATAGACTTGACTTTTTTCTTCAGTTCTTTCATCTTGAGAAATGCAGAATGTATTCTTCTCTTTTGGCTTTCTAACTCCAGGACTTTGCACATTTCAATATAATACTTTGGCTTCTCTATCTGCCCTTTGAAATTTTTGGGAAAGCTCTTACTCATCAAAGCTTCACTACGTTCAAGAGCAAGTCTCAGAATCTCTTCTGACATCTGTTTTGATCTTTTCTTTCTCTCCTGTCTTTTTAATGACCTTTTGTTTTCTTTACATATGATGTTCTTGATGTCATCTCACAACTACTCTGGTCTTCGGTCATTAGTTCTAATGCATCAAATTGTGTTTCGGAAATGGTCTCTAAATTCAGGCAGAACATACTTAAGATCAAGGCACTCTGGTAGTGTAGCGGTTATGAGTTGGGCTGCTAACCTCAAGGTCAACAGTACGAAACTACCAGCCAATCTGTGGAAGAAAGATGAGGCTTTCTGCTCCCAGAAAGATTTACAGTCTCAGAAACCCTATGCAGCATCACTGTGAGTCAGAATTGATGCCACGGCACATCACCATCACCATACTCAAGATCATATCTTGGTTCTCATGGACTGGTTTTAATTTTCTTCAGCTTCAGACTGAATTTGTGGCTGTTAGGTGTCATTGAGTTGGTTCCTACTCATAGCACCCTATACACATCAGAAGGAAACACTGCCCGATCCTGTACCATCCTCACAACTGTTGTTATATTTGAATCCATGAGCAATTGATGGTCTATTCCACAGTTGGTCCCTGTCCCTGTTTTAACTGATGATATTGAGCTTCTCCATCATGTGTTCCCACAGATATGGTCAATTTGATTCCTGTGTGTTCCATCTGGTCAAGTCCACATGTATAGTCACCATTTGTGCTGCTGAAAAGGGTATTTGCAATGAATAAGTTGTTGGTCTTGCAAAATTTTATAATGTGATCTCCAGCATCATTTCTATCACCAAGGCTATATTTGCAACTACCAATATTTCTCATTCCAATTGCTAGTAATTATCAATGTTTCTTGATTGCACGTTTGATCAACTTTGGACTGAAGAAGTTGACAGAATTCTTCAGTTTCATCATCATTGGCTTTACAGATTGTGTGTAAATGTGAGTAATAGTCACATTAGCTGGTCTTCCTTGTAGGCATATGGATATTATCCTATCACAGACAACATTATACTTCAAAGTAGAACTTCAAATGTTGTTTTTGACAATGAGTGTGACACCATTCCTCTACAATTTGTTGTTCCCAGAATCATAAACTATGGTTGTCTAATTCAAAATGGCCAATACCATCCTGGTGTGGCATGGTAGGATAAGCACTGGATTGTTTACAGCAAGATCAGTGGTTCAAGCCCACCAGCCACTTAGAAACCCTATATATGGTTGCTATGAACTGGAAGTAACTCTACAGCATTTAATAACAACAACAATGACTATTGATCTTTATGCTTTCCATTTCATTTTTGATAACTTCTAAATTTATTAGATTCATACTTTATACATTCCATGTTTCAATTATTAATGGATGTTTGTAGCTGTTTCTTCTCATTTTGAGTTGTGTCCCATCAAGAAATGAAGGTCCTGAAAACTGTTCTCCATCCATGACATTAACATCAACTGTACTTTGAGGAGGCAGCTCTTCCTCAGTCATATTTTGAGTGCCTTCCAGCCTGAGGAGTTCATTTTCTGGCACCACATCAGACAATGTTCCACTGCTAGGGTTTCAGTGGTTAACCCTTCATAAATGGTCCACCTCTCCTTCTTCCTAGTTTGTCTTAGTCTGGATGCACATACCAGTGACATAACTTTCTAAGAATTAGAAACATATGTGCATCAAAAGACTTCACCAAAAGAGTAAAAAGGGAGCCCACAGAATGGGAAAAAAATCTGTAGCAATGATACATCAGACAAAGGATTTATTTCCAAAATGTATAGGAAACTACAACTTTCAGCATCACAGAAATACACTAGACATCTATG